GTAATCTTTACACAAAAATAAACAATGCTGCCTCCTATTAACAATAAACCGCCCTACCCCCCACCAGCTAGCTAGCTAGCTGCATACCATAGCTAGCTGCCTAGCCACACTGTTGGCTAGTCAATAAGCTAGCGAGCTGTATAGCTAGCTAGCTAGCTAGCTATACAGCTAGCTAGCTAGCTATACAGCTCGCTAGCTAGCTGGTTAGCTAGCTGGCTAGCTAGCTTCTTAGCTAGCTAGCTATATGCATAGCGTGTAGGTGCAGAGCTTAGAGGAGGCCTTGTATCCTTGAATTGGCAGTGTTGCTGCTGCTGCTGCAGCAGCAGCAGTTGCTGCTGCTGCTGTTGCTGCTGCTGCTGCTGTATATGCCACTGCTGCATGTTGAAACTCCTGCTGTTGCTGCGATCGCTGATGCCGCAGCTGCTGCTGCATTTGCTGCTGCTGCTGCTGCCTTTGCTGCCGCCGCTGCTGCTGCTGCTGTTGCTGCAGCTGCTGCTGCCTTTGCAGCCGTTGCTGCTGTTGCTGCAGCTGCTGCTGCCTTTGCTGCAGTCTTTATTGAAAAGAAAAATGCGAACTGTTTATAATCAAGTGCTGCAGCAGATTGCTGCTGCTGCTGCTGTTGCTGCTGCTGCTTCTGCTGCTGCAGCAGATGCTGCACCTGCTGCCCATGTTGCCGCTGCATCATTCGCGGCTGCAGCAGCAGCTGCTGCCTTTGCTGCTGCTGCTGCTGCCTTCGCCGCTGCGCTGCAGCTGACCCTCTGTGGCTGTATATGTTGGTGCAACTGTTGCACAATCTCCCTCTATCGCTGCTGCTGCTGCTGCTGCTGCTGCTGCTGCTGCAACAGCAGCGACTGTATACTTGCGACAGTAACAGCTGCTGCTCGTACTGCTGCTGCTGCTGCTGCTGCTGCTGCTGCTGCTTCTGTATAATTATAGCGGCTCTCTAGCGAGAGCATTTGCTGCTTCTACCTCTTCAGGTGTAACACGAAATGGCAGCACGACGCTGCTGCTGCTGCTGCTGCTGCTGCTGCTGCAGCTGCAGCTGCTGCAGCGTCTATAGTTGCTGCTAGCGAACCATGTGTTGCTACCATGAGTACATCCATCATCACCAGTAGCAGCAGCAACTGCTGCTGCTGCTGCTGCTGCTGCTTCTCCCTCTATTATATCTTGTGTCTCCTCCATCTCTGCTAAACAATACCAATCTCTTAGCATGCGCATAGGCATACCCCAGCAGCCATTGATGCTGCTGCTGCTGCTGCTGCTGTTGCTGCTGCTGCTGCTGCTGTTGCAGTGACTGACGTGACTGCCTGAGGCCACTGCGAAGCGCTGCTGCTGCTGCTGCTGCATTGTACCACCACCATCACTATCACCAGCAGCAGGAGCAGCAGCAGCAGCAGCAGCAGCAGGTTGTTTATTCTTACATATTGTAGATAGAGGAGGAGGAGGAGGCAAAGGAGACACTGTCTCCCTCCTCATCTGTCTCCTTTCTCCTTTATCATATATAAGGGGTCTCTTACCTCTAGATTGTCCTGCTGCTGCTGCTGCTGCGGCTGCTGCTGCTGTTGCTGCAGCAGCAGCTGCTGCTATTGGTCCTGTTGATTCTTCTTCTGTTGATTCGAGTAATCCTGTTGATGGTCCCTGTTGTCCTGCTGCTGCTGCTGCTGCTGCTGTTGCTGCAGCAGCAGCAGCAGCAGAAGTAGCAGGTGCAGGTAACATAAATAATCCATCTAACCCTAGCGAAGGATCTAATTTGCTGCTGCTGTCTTCAATCGATTGCTGCTGCTGCTGCTGCAGTTGCTGCTGTTGCTGCTGTCGCCTACGTCGGAGATGCCGCTGCTGCTGCTGCGCCTGTGGCTGCAATAGCTGCTCAAGGTTCAATAGCTGCTGCTGCTGCTGCTGTTGCTGCTGTTGCGTATACTGCAGCTGCTGCTGTTGCTGCTGCGCATACTGCAGCATTTGCTGCTGTCTAGGATATAGTAAAGGAGAACATTGTTGGTGCTGCTGCTGCAGTTGCTGTTGCTGCTGCTGCTGTTGCTGCTGTTTATCTGCTGCAGCATAAAGGCAGCTGCTGCTGTTGCTGCTAAAACCCTGTACACTAGCAGCACCAAAATTTCTCTGCAGCAGCAACCCACCCTGCTGCTGCTGCTGCTGCTGCTGGTGATCAGCAGCAGCAGCAGGAGGAGGAGGAGCAAGACGATCAGGTAAACAAATAAATTCATCAGCAGCAAACTGGCTATCTGCTGCAGCAACAGGAGACAGGGCCTCAGGAGACACAAGAGGAGGAGACACAGCAGCAAACCAATACTCGCTGCTGCTATCAAAGGTTAAGGCAGGAGACACAACAAGAGGAGTTGCTGCTGCTGCTGCTCCTCCTCCTCCTCCTCCTGCTGATGGGCTGCATGCGTCCCTTCCTTCTGTTATTGATAAGAATTGCTGCCGTGTCTCTGGATACACAACAGCAGCAGCAGCAGCAGCAGCAAATAAATAGATGCAATATACA